AGCTTGATGAGCTTGAGTCAAATACAGGCCCGGGCCTGTATTAGAGGATTTACGGTATACACACACACACACACATATATATATATATATATATATATATAATTTTTTTCAGCTTTTATGTTTGTATGTGGTTTTAGGACTTTTTTATCACTCTCTTTTTATATTAATCTATGTTATGTACTTCCACAGAGGCAGTGGAAGGCGCTCCATCAATAACGCTTGATTGATTGATTGAAATACTGATTTAATATTTATGTTTTTGCCACATTTTAAAATCAGAAAACAGTTTTTTAAATTTTGAAACATTTTGGACTGATATTAATACAACAATAATTTATTTTAACAACAATAAAACTAAATACAATTGGTACTAGGAAACTTTTGCTTCCACCACTCAATCCCTTGGGAAGTGGGGGATATGTAGTATTGCAAAGGCCAGCTCAGTGGCCTATTGGTAGAGTGTCCGCCCTGGCACTGGGAGAGGGTTCAATTTCCGGTCGGGTCATACCAAAGACCTTAAAAATGGGACCCAATGCCCCCCTGTTTGACACTCAGCTTTAAGGGGTTGGATTGGGACATTAAACCACCAAATAGTTCCCAAGTGCAGCCCCAGCTGCAACTCACTGCTCCCCCCACGGGGATGGGTCAAATGCGGAGATGAATTTCACCAGTGTGTGATGATGACTATGGCACTTTAACTTTAATACCAAAGGTCCTGACACTGCACAACCATCTTCACTTTGCCCCAGAAGTTGTGTGTTTCTGAGTCTGTTTATAACCATCTCTAGCCTGGGCCATCTGGGAGAAGTGTCGTAACAAAGTCCCTCTCCTTTATCTGTCCTGCAAGTCACAAGTCACTACTTAAGAAGCCCAGTCTTGACCCCTCTACTGTGTCTAATTACAGGCCTATTTCAAAACTTCCATTCCTTTCAAAGGTTCTGGAAAAGGTGGTGTATTTGCAATTGACGGAGTTTTTGCATGCAAATGATATTTGTGAAAAATTCCAGTCAGGTTTTAAGAAGGGACATAGCACAGAGACTGCACTGCTCAGGGTCTTAAACGATATTCTTTTAGCTACTGACTCTGGGGATTTTGTGGTTCTGGTACAGTTGGATTTGTCTGCTGCCTTTGACACCGTGGATCACAGTCTCCTGATTTCACGGTTAGCAGAGTCTGTTGGGATTCGAGGAGTTGCTTTGGACTGGTTTAAGTCCTATTTGGCTGAGAGGTCGTTTAGTGTGTCATTAGGTGGCTTCACGTCATCTCCCTCACCTCTAGTTTGTGGGGTTCCACAAGGATCGGTACTGGGTCCGTTATTGTTCTCTCTGTATTTGCTACCTCTGGGTTCTATTTTTACAAAACATGGATGTTCTTTTCATCTATATGCAGACGACACCCAGGTTTATATTCCCATTAAACATGGCCTACCCAATTCTCTGGATCCTCTTCTAAACTGCCTAGATGAGGTTAAAACCTGGATGTCTGCAAATTTTTTACATTTTAATAATGACAAGACTGAGGTCATGCTTTTTAGTCCTAGTGTGTCCAGTGGGCCATGTTCTGCTGACCTTGGTCCACTAGCCCTTTTCTTGAAACCTGTAGCGACCAGTCTGGGAGTCCGGCTTGACAGTGACCTGCTTCTGGAAAAGTAAATCAGTGCCGTCACCAAAGCCAGTTTTTATCAGTTAAGGAGGATTGCCAAGGTTAAGCGTCTGCTCTCAAGTCATGACTTTGAGACGGTGATTCACGCGTTAATTACATCACGTCTAGACTATTGCAACGCACTGTACCTTGGTCTTCCTCAGTCTCACCTGTCCCGTCTTCAAATGGTGCAAAATGCAGCAGCACGCCTATTGACGGGTTCAAGAAAGAGGAAGCACATCACCCCAATTTTAGCTTCGCTGCACTGGCTGCCTGTGGTTTATAGGGTCCAGTACAAGGTTCTTTTATTGGCTTTTAGAGCTGTACATGGCCTTGCTCCGCAGTATCTGTGTGAACTTTTAGTAACTTTCTCCCTGTCTCGGTCACTGAGGTCAACAGACCTGTTTCTCCTGGTGGTGCCGAGAACAAAGAGAAAGCTCAGGGGTGATAGAGCTTTCTCAGTAGCAGCTCCAAGGTTGTGGAATGCACTCCCGATTCAGATTAGGATGGTTTCATCACTGTCGGGTTTTAAATCACTCTTAAAGACTCGTCTGTTCTCAGTTGCTTTTAATTCAGTTTGAGAATGCATCTGTTTTAGTAGCTTTTATGTCAGTTTGATATGTTTGTTTTATCATGATTTTACCTTGTGATGAACTTTTTATCTTGTTTTTAGAATTTTTGAGGAAATTCTGTTTGTTTTGTCTTGTTAAGCACTTTGGCCAGCTTTTATGCTGTTATAAAGTGCTATATAAATAAAGTTGACTTGACTTGACTTGACAAGACCGAACTGTAACCGATAGAAAATACCTTATTCTGTCTTGTACAATGATCGTCTCACTACAGATTCATAAAGATCATTACGCAATAACGGTTTAATCTAAAGTCTTGATTGCTTGACAGTAATGATGAATCAGAATAACTGTTTATTGTTGCATTATTTCAGATCTTAAACACATCAAACAAACCTACTTCATGAGTTAATGATTTTTTGATCAGTTATGTCACATGGGGGTTCTTAGAAAAGATCAGGGGACTCTGTTAACGCCCCCTACATTTTATGGCCTCTGATTGATCCAACACAGACCCTTAAAAGATCGGAAACACGCCCTAGTCAGCAATTACAGCCTAATAAGGCTAAATGAACACTTCTCGGGAGCTCAAGCCAGATCTTTCAACATGCTACTTTTAACAGCATCAAACCACCACCTTTTCAGAATCAACAACTATTATTTGTTTTAATCTGCAAAAACTTCATCAGAGGTCAACCAACCTGCCAGCTTCCAGCAGACCCCAGAGAGTAAATGATAAATGATGAATGACCCGCACTTGTGCAGCGCCTCTCAGAGTAAGGACTCCAAAGCGCTTTACACTACAGTGTATCATTCATCCATTCAAACACTGATGGTGATGAGCTACGATGTAGCCACAGCTGCCCTGAGGCGCACTGACAGAGGAGAGGCTGCCGAGCACAGGTGCCACCGGTCCCTCCGACCACCACCAGCAGGCAAGGTGGGTTAAGTGTCTTGCCCAAGGACACAACAGCAGAATTCTCTGACTGGAGCCAGGATTGAACCTGCGACCTTCCAATTAGGACAACCCGCTCAAGCTGTTGAGCTACTGCTGCCCCAATAAGTACCTTAGCCATGCAGGTTTAAAGGAACTACGACCTTTGATACTCCAGAAGTCATAACAAATCGGCTGCTCGAGACAACTTCGCTGCCAGCTGGATCTCCAAGGACTCTTGTCACACAGGTATGGTAGTCTCTTCACACTAGCACTGGATGGGTTAATATTGATTTGAAAACTAATCAAACATCACTAAATTAAGCAAGATTATTTTTTTGCAATCCCATATTTCACATCCTTTCCTAAGAAACCTAAATAGATTCTTATTAACATCTTAGATCGTGTTTCGTTATTGTCTCAGTTGATATTACCTTGAATAATCATTTATCTCGTTATTCTGTTTAATAAGTCGTAGAAATATAGTAATACATTATTTTAGAAACCATATTTTTGCTTCTGTGTCAAATTATTGGTAAGTGTTGGTTCCCTGGCTACCCAAATTACTGATTTCCAGTGTCAATCAAATATTAAAGGTTCAATAATATTAATGAGTCATATTTTTATGGAACACTATATGTTGTTGGTATGTTGTAGGCGTGGTTTTGGTGGTGCTTGGTAAAGCTGTCCTTTTTTGATTTGATCGTAAATCAAATTATCCAAATTATAAAACTATGCCAACATCATCTTAAACTCCAGTTCAAAGCTTTGTAGAGAAGTTGTCGGAGTGGCCAATCCGTAACTTTCCTCTTCAGCCGAAAGAACCAACGGCAAGCTGGATAAAATCTGTTGCTGTTCCACCTGCTGCAACGGTTCCTTTCAGAATAAAAGCTGAACCATCACGACCCCGTTTTGTGTCTCGCTAGATACCAACAAAACTGTCATGACCCGGAAGTATCTCAAGACTGGTCTGGTCGGCAATCGCTGCTTTTCCTACTGGCTTCGGTTCCAGAGACGGTCAAGCTGGACGTCGACATTCCTGATCTAACGGGGACTTCCACAAAGGGTACGTAGACCGACAGAATGGCGTCTCAATGTGTGTTATAAATCTCCCAACCAAGCCTAGCGAGAAACATCATCTTCACTCCCACCAGAACTAATCGTTTCTTTGGATTTGCTGGTTCTGAACAACATTCCACACTACACCATTCTGCGCCTCACTTCCCCTTAGTGACACCATACATTTAGTTTAAAGTCAGTCTAGTTTTAATTTGTTAAGTAATAAATGTTTAAACTTTTAAAACTTGACTCTCTTCTGTTGTCTCGGAGTGAATACGAAGTGTTACATAATCCCTGCAATAAAAAGTTCCAATCTTCTGGTTTAAATTATCCAAAGGTCCATAAGATTGATTTCATAGTTCCTATGGAATCTCACATTTTATGGTTCATTAAATAATATGTAAATTTAATCGTTACAACAGTTATTTAATTGTGACCATTTACAAAACATTAAAGGATCTTTGTTTTGAGTTGGAAGGTACACCCCAGATCGTTGTGTTAGTAAAACACATGCTTCCATAGTCATACATTTTCTAGAAAGCTTCACTAAGCTCCTCTCTGTTTACACAACAGACTTCAAACACTTTCCTAAAGCTGATGACTTTCACGTTGATGATGGCAAACCTGCAGAACAATTCTGTGGAGTGCTTAAACTATTTGATGTGCAACAAGGTCCACGTGGTCCAACATACAAACTTACTCTTAACCAGAGATGTGGATGTGTTCTCTAAGGTCATCTAACATGCCGTCTTAGTAGCGTGTTGTTTCGTGTGTGTATGTGTGTGTGTGTGTCTTACTACTGAGCACAGTCAATCAGCTGATATTCATTGGAGCGTTCAAAACAGGCCTTCACACCTTCGTCCTCCCAGAGGCTATGAACATGCTGGAAGAAATCCTGGAGAAAGAAAGAAGGTGCTGAGACACCTGGACCACTGCACCTGGTTGTCCTTTAACAAACTAGACTGAACCAGATGATACTGGACCATGTTTTATAAAATGATCAACGACCTGCACTTTCTGAGTCTGAGGATTCCAAAGCCGTTATACTAGAGAGCATCATTAACCCAATAACATGCTGGTGGCAATGGACATGGGACCAGTTGGTTCAGTTACAAGCGATTTAAGCATTAGTAGGGACTGCAGCAGCTCTGGAGGTAGAGCGGGTTGTCCAGTAATCGGAAGGTTGCAGGTTTGATCCCAGCTTCGGACAGAGAATTCTGCTGTTGTCTCCTTGGGCAAGACACTTAAACCACCTTTTCCGCTGGGCAAGATATTCTGCCCGTGCTGCCCACGGCTACTTTCATTACACTATTAATAACTTTCTTGACTATTAGCATATCTATTCATTCCAATCAGTAGATGTCTTACTTTTAAACATATTTACTGTACCTATCATCTCTTTTGTATTAACGGCCCAAAGGAACATTGAGTGGGAGTTCTTTACTACATTGTTTTCCATAGCTTTGCTATCTTTAGGCTGGTTCTCTTCAATTTCTTGTGCCAGCCTTTGTCCAATATTCACAAAGAACTCATTGAACCCTTCCACCACTTGACTGTTGTTTTTTGTAACTCTAATTTCATCAATAAAACATTCTGCATAATTATGACTAGCCTTATTTTTCTTAATGTCATTCAATAATTTCCATATGCCTTTATTATTGGTTTTATTTTCATTTAATAATTTTGTATAATATTTCTTCCTCCATACCCTCATTACAGTAGTCAATTTATTTTTATATTTCTTGTACCTTTGTTCTTCCTCTATCGTTCTATTTGCTATATACTGTTTATAGAGAATATTCTTGTTTTTTACAAGCATTTAACAGTCTCTTTGTAGTCCAGCTGTTGTTAAATGAACCAGGCCTAGACAGTGCCATCATGTCTAACTTTCGCCCAATCTCAAAACTGTCCAAAGTAATGAAGATTGTACTTGCTATTTAACCTTCCCCTCACCTAGATTCTCTTATTCTGGACCAGGTTTCAGCCTGAGATGCAGGTTCTATCTGACAGGATCAAACCTTTAGGCATACTTTTCAAATCTTTCTGGCCCTGACTGAACATCTCCTTTCCTCTTAGGCCTAGTCCACACGTAGCCGGGTTTTTTTAAAAACGAATATCCGCCCCTCCAAAAACTTGCATCCACACCACCTCGTTTTAAAACAAACTCTGTCCACACGTACCCGGATAAATACGTTGTTAAGGACATGCCAGACCTGTAGGGGGCAGTACTTCCCCCGTTCTTAACCTCGTCCTTCGTCTGTGGTCTTCCGCAAGGAGCAGTAATTCCTCTTGCAACAACAAGCAAGCAGAAAGCGCTTGGACAATTGATAAAGCGAGCGCAGCTCTGAGGGCATCCATGCTGTCGGCTAGTGTAAACACAGGTCGCACACGTGATGTCAGCATTTTTTGTTGCAGAAAGTGACGTTGCGGACCTTAAAACTCCGGTTTTGTCCGTCCACACACAGACACCCAAAACGGAGAAAACGCAGATCTTCACTTTGGCCGGAGTTTTTAAAAAGATCCATTTTCGTGTGAAAAAACTCCGTTTTCGTGTGGATGACAGGCCAAAACGTAGAAAAATATCTACGTTTTGGCAGATCCCCGGCTACGTGTGGACAGGGCCTTACAGACACTAAAAACAACCATTTAACAACCCATGATGTCTTTCTCAGGTGACTTCACCTGAGTGGACAGCAGAGACAGCATGTGACCAATTAGCTGTCGGATTGGAGAAGGGTCTGTTTAATTAATGAAGCCTCAGGTGAATTTCAGGTGTGTGTGTCTCAGTTGAACTTGTTACATCATGTCATTACCATCATTACAACAAACAAGCAGGTCTCTAGGTGCTGCTTTAATAGAGCAGTGTGTGTGTGTGTGTGGGGGGGGGGGGGGGTAAATTCTCCTGGGTCTCTCTTCTACAGACAACAAAGCTGAAGATGCATTCTGTTTGATCTCCATCTGTTGGTGCTGATCTGAAGATCCAGATCCAGGTCAGGTGCTCTACCTGAGACACACCTGTGTGTTGTTTTCTGTTAATATGTTTAAAAATCCATCCAATTAGGTTCTTTCTTTTTAGTTTTTTAAGAAAAACCGAGTTTGACATAAAAACAAGAATGAGATTCATGTCCAAGTTTGTTTTGGATGAGGAATACGTCCAACCCGACTTTTCACTGGGATACATGTTCAGCTGCAGACACACCTGAGTGACATAATCAGACGTTACCTCTGTGTATTCGAAGTCCGACAAAGGTGAAATGCTTCTGATGTACTCCACTCTGAACTGGTTACCAGGGTTACCAAGAGGAATGGGCGGAGTCAACGAGCTCATGGCTGAAACGATGGTCTAACACACACAGAAAATCTCATTGATCCTTGAATCAAATGTTTAGTGCAGGGTAGACAACCCAGGTCCTTGAGTACCGCTGTCCAACATGACTTAGTTGCAACACTCCTGATTCAGTGGTTGAATCACCTGTTCAGCAGGTCACCTGCTGATTACAACTAAAACCTGCTGGATAGGGGCACTCGGGGAGTCAGTACTGCCTACCTCTAGTTCAGTATCATCTCCCTGAAGTCAAGCTTTTGACCAATCACAGTGATTCGTGTGCGTCATGTGACTCACCACAATTGCATCTTTTACATTCTTCCTTATGTCTTGGATCTTCTGTTGCTTCTCTCTGGAAATAAAGAGTTAAAATACCTTCAAAAGTAGTTCATCATGCTGGAAGCCCCAAATCATTTACTACATAGGCAAAAACATCCAGAGTGTTTATTCATTCATTCATTCATTCATTCATTCATTCATTCATTCATTCACATTTTAGGAGGCGGAGAGCTGCTGGAGATAAACCATCTCAACCCCCCACCCCCCGCGTCCTTTCTGGCACTTAAATTGTTTTTGTTTATGTTAAGCGCCTCGTGATTTTTATCTTGAGAGGTGCTTCCAAAATATCCCTTTCTTTCTAATGACAGAAGTGAGGTCAAAATGGAAAATGCAACAACAAACTGTTGTTTG